TGATCTGGGGGGATTTCATCCGGATGTCGACTACAAAGATTCTGTGGGCAGAGGCGTAACGAGGGGGGTGTAGGTGAGGGTAAACCCCCACTGGCGTCTTATAGAGAGAACTCCGTATGGGGCCAAACTACAATGCTACATCGCTGTTGGATTTAGAATATGAAATGTATTGACAGCGACGTTAAGTTCGACGGTGAAGCTATTACAACAGAAAATAATATTAACAAACATATTTTGATTTAAAGCGATGACAAGAACAAATGAAGAAAACTGATGTCGTTCTGTTTACCGATCTTGTCATAAGGACCGTTTATTGGCAGAAATACAAACATGACAAGTTGTATGCTCAAATACACACAAGAGTAAACATTTTAAACAAAAAGAGGAAACATTAAATTCTTTTTAAACATGGTTTTTGTTGAACAATATGTGAAGGCATTGTGGGTTGGGTGGTAGGGGGGGGGGGGGGTGGGGTGTATACAGAACTGTTCCACATCCTAGCAGAAGGGGGGGGGTCGGGTGAAATAACTGATTCTTGTAGACTAAAAAATAAATGTCCTGAGCTAGTTTGACCTAAAGCCGACTGATGTTAGCCTGTGAGGCCTGGTGGAGAAGATAATGTTTAATCTTAAGTTCCGAGTTCGGTTACCGGTTAGAAGCATCCGGCCAGTCCAAGTCACCAGTCATGTATAACTTAAGTCTAGCTGCATCCAGCAAAGTCACACATGACTTAATTAAGTCTAGACGTGCCCGACAGTGCCCGAGTTCCCCAACCCTAGCCTTAGTTGTATTGGACTTAGGAAAACTAAAATACGGTTAGCTGAACATGTTTAGTGTAGCCTGATTATGTTAGTTTACATTTATGATGTGGTAATGTTGATGTTTATGAAGTGCTTATTCAAATGTTTGATATTTTTGTTTTACGTTGGCATTTCTTAATGTTTGAAAAACGATAATATGTGTTTTAATGTGCTAAAGTTGATGTTTGGATGTTTGTGATGTGCTAATGTTGATATTTTTTGCGTGATAATGCTGATATTTGTGATGTGCTAATGTTGATGTTTGTGACAACTTGCTAATGTTGATGTTTGTGACAACTTGCTAATGTTGATATTTGTGAAGTGCTAATATTGATGTTTTTATGTGCTAATGTTAATGTTTGTGTTAAAAAATATTGCTCCAATTTTAGACTTATACTATAATTAAACATGTAAGTAAAAATATAACAATATCCTAGTGATATTAGGGGCACTTAATGAATGGAAAACTAGTTGAACTTAATGAATGGAAAACTAGGTGAACTTAATGAATGGAAAACTAGTTGAACTTAATGAATGGAAAACTAGTTGAACTTAATGAATGGAAAACTAGTTGAACTTAATGAATGGAAAACTAGGTGAACTTAATGAATGGAAAACTAGGTGAACTTAATGAATGGAAATCTATGTCAACATAGTGAATAGAGAAATAGGTCAAAGTTACGAATGGAAAATTAAGTCAAGTTAAATTACAGAAAACTGGACCAACTAAATAAATGTCAAATCACGACCTGTATTTTACCAAACTCTACACACAAAAGCTGGTCAACATAGAAAAGCAAATGCTGGTTCATCGAGGTCTAATTAGACAGTGTACCAGAAATCTAGGTCATACAGCCCAGGTAAAACTCAGGTGACTGCTCACAGCTATGAGATTACGTATACATTTTCTTAGTTGAAAAACGTGATAGGACAAACTGAATATTTTTGTTTTTAGCATTCTTAAAACGGTTCTCAGTAAACTGACCTTTAATGCAAAGCAAGCTGCTAAATTGTAGCGCATTAAGAAAAAGAGATAAACCGGGAGTGTTATCCCCTAAACTTTCTCGAATATTCTTATATAAAACAACAGGGGATGGGAACTCGGGATATAGCTATGATTTTTAATCCATTTTAAATACATACACTTTTTAAAATAAAATAGAATCTCATAGAAAAAAGTATTGCACACCAAGCGAACGCCGAATAAAGATGTTCATAATGGTGCGCAATATTATTAGTACTTTATAAATTTAGATGCGTTTTTGAGAAATCGAAAATAGCGCAAATTAGTACTTCCCGTCAACGGGAAATTACTCAAAATTTGATAGAACGAAGAGAATTAGATCTTTTACTTACATGTGAAACTTCATTTATCTATCTGAAATAATACTCAAATTATAGGCTTTTGAAAAATTCAAAGTAGAAAAAGTACCACTTCCGGTTATCGGAAATCGCTCAAAAGTTGATAGGGATCTACGATTTTGATAAAATACTTATATATGAAATTTCATCAACCTAGCTGTAACGGTACTCAAGTTATCGTGTTTACACACACACACACACACAGACACACAGACATACGGACACGATTGCAAAATTATGTTTTTCCGTATCAGTGAGATGTAAAACGTCGAGATGTGTAAAAATCTCGATTTTTTTTTTTGCACGATTACAAGACTTTCTCAATACTTCGTATATACGAGAAAGTAAAAACATTGATGCCGTAGATAAGTGGTTTTTAACCATTTTGGTGTTACCGAGCCCCCCTAGTTTCATAACGTATTCACCGAACCTTTATTAATATTTATATAGCCCGCACTGACAAAATCCGATGGTGAATTGTATGAGTCTGGCGGTGTCTTGACCTCCAACGAACCCTGAGACACTCACCGAACCCTTGGGGTTCGGTGGAACCCTTCTTAAGAACCACAGCTGTAGATATTCTTCATAAGTTGGAGAAACACGTATTTATGTTTAGTTATTCAAGACAACACTAAATACAGCCCCATGACAACCCTACACCTAGACAACAGACTTATGACAACCCCAAAATACAGACAACAGACTCATGACAACCCTACACCCAGATCAGACTCATGACAACCCTACACCCAGACAACATTCTCATGACAACCATACACCCAGACAACAGACATGACAACCATACACACAGACAACAGACTCATGACAACCATACACACAGAAAACATTCTCATGACAACCCCACACCCAGTCAACAGACATGACAACCCCACATCCAGACTTAAACCCTAACAACCCCATCCCCCGAACCCATGACAACACTACACCCAGACCCCTAGCAACCCCACTCCCATACCCCTAACAACCTGACACCCAGACAACAGACCCGTGACACGTGACAGGGGGGATAATCTACAGCTGTAATGACGTCACTTAATGTCGGTATTAGCGGGGAGCGAACTCCGTCTAGAATTGAATACTCGCCCTTATTGTAACCCCGGCCCCCGGCTACAGGATTACGCACCTTGCGTCGTTGTTCACACATTGGGTGTTGCGCACCGACCATGTCACTTTGGCGCGACCTGCGCGGCGTGTTGAAGGGAGTCTGAGTTTTTTTTTATGCAGGGACGGGTTATTGTCTTCAACTACTGGCTGAGTGTGTGTTGTTGTTTTTTTTTTTTTAAATCGCGGGAGTATTTTGTAATGAATACATCAGTCATTAGTTTTATCATAAAAGTTGGAAAATAGCATGGAGAGGAAAAAATGTTGAAGCAAAAGGAAATACATACAAGTGGTAGCTGTCACGTCAAAGTGTCTTCCTGTCGTCTCACAGTGCTCTGTTTTCTCATAGTGACCTGATTTCTCATAGTGACCTGTCTTCTCATAGTGACCTGTTTTCTCATAGTGACCTGATTTCTCATAGTGACCTGTCTTCTCATAGTGACCTGTTTTCTCACAGTCACCTGTCTACTCACAGTCACCTGTCTTCACACAGTGACCTGTCTTCACACAGTGACCTGTCTTCTCACATTGACCTGTCTTCTTACAGTGCTCTGTCTTCACACAGTGACCTGTCTTCTCACAGTGATCTGTCTTCTCACAGTGCTCTGTCTTCACACAGTGACCTGTCTTCTCACAGTGACCTGTCTTCTCACAGTGCTCTGTCTTCATACAGTGACCTGTCTTCTCACAGTCACCTGTCTTCTCACAGTGCTCTGTCTTCACACAGTCACCTGCCTCATCACGATGACCTTTTTAATCACGGTGTACTTCTGTCTCGCCATAAAACGAATGTGTAAAAGTGTTGCATAAAAAACGTTTTAATTATGACAAGCTTATATGAAACAATGCACTAAAAGGAGAAAAATCGTGGGTCTCTTTCTTAAATATAAGATCTAGTAAAGGTATCAGATAGACAATAATATAGTCACCCACGCTTTTCCTTATAATTATTAAAATAGTAGAGCATTATTATATATTTAAAGAAATTCATTACTTCTTCTTTTTGGTGTATTTCAAATAAACGCTTTTTATTACAACGATTTTATGCATTTTTTAAAATATATTTACCGAAAAATATAACATTAGCAAAAAATAAAATAAAAATAATTACATAAATGGTTAATAGAAATTATTTTAACATCAATTTACATTAAATAAGTAGTTTATTTAATTTATTCGATATCAAAATATTTTAAGGCACATACTTGAAAGGGAAACGACCGTGGAAAATCTAGTACATACAAAAGTAGTAATGTTACTTCCCCTTAATATATATTTAGATTATAGTATTTTTAACATTTTGTACACGTACACTTCCCTTTTCAATTCTGACAGTCCACGGAACAAGTGAAGTAGAGTTCACCTGTTTCTATGACCTTACCATAATTAGGGATAATGTGGTCAGCACTATGTCCGGCCGCCTTGAGTGAGTTAGGTACCCACCAGGGCTAGGATGACTCAAGGACGTTATACTGATTTGAACCCGGATTCGAACTCGAAGTTTCGGGTTAGTGATCTAGCACTCTACCGCTTCGCCACGCCGTCCCACACACATACTCGTACTATTTCCCCCACCGAAATCAAAAACTAATATGTGTGTAGGCTTTGTTTTTCTAATAGAACACTTGTCACCACTGTGCGCACTAACACGGGGTAAAACAGAACCGCACCAAAAGGCACCGTTTTATTATTCCAATGTAAAATTGACACCACCGACCTTGTATGTACATGATGGAAAGCATCAATAATGGTCGTTTGCTGATGTAAAAAGATGATCGTCCGTTGATGTTGTAGGTTTTTGTGTTATATCAGTTAGGGTTCAGGTAAAAATAAGGTTGAATTACTGACTAAATGATACTGTCGAATAGCTGTTAATGTAGTCAACTTTATTACTACTTTATAAATGGAGAGTTTTGTTTATTAAATTTACCATTTTAAAAATAACTTAGGGGTCGGCGTGGTCGAGTCGGTAAAGCTCATGGTTGCTAAACCGAAGAGTCTCGAGTTCGAACCCTCGGGCAGATGAGGCTCGTTAGCTGGGGACAGCCACTCTTCTAGGAGAGACAACTCCAAAATTAAACAACTGCTGTCTTGTAGTTTGTTCTTGGTTGGACAAAGGCTATGGAAGTAAATCCAAAAAGAAAAGCAGGCTGAAATCGGAGTCAATAGCCTCAATGGCGCATAACCAGTTGACACGTAACGCTTAATTGTGTTGGAGGCGTGGTCGAGTCGGCAAAAAAAGCTCATGGTTGATAAATTCGAAAAAAGTCTCGAGTTCAAACCCACTGGCAGATAAATCTCGATCCTCTTCAACACTAATAATTAAGAACGAAGAAGAAGAAGAAAAATAATTTTATTACTAATATATATATAAATGGAGGATTTTGTTTATTAAATGTACCATTTCAATAATTTGGTCGCTATATCTCTAGATCTAGTATGATTTAAGTTTGGATTAAGTTCGGAGGGGGGGGGTGAGTCTAAACTAAGCTAAGTTTAAGCATAGGGCGCCATAGGGTAAGTAAAGTTTCCCTTTCAAACCTGACGGTCTATGGGGCAAGTGAAGTAGAGTTCACTTGTTTCTGTGACCTCGGCATATGAAGAGATAGTGTGGACAGCACTATGCCCAGCCGCCTTTAATTTCCCTAACGTGAGTTAGGTACCCATCAGAGTTGGGTGGACTCAGCGAAGGTCTACTGACTTGAACCCAGATTCGAACTCGAGACTTACGGGTAAGCAGTCCAACTCTCTATCGCTAGACCACTCCGTCCCATAGAGTAAAGTATAGGGTTATTTATAACTCGAGCTATGATTAGACTTGGTTAGGATTAGTGTTTTACTAGTGACAATAACATAAAACCCCCAAACGGCATTCTAGAATAAATTCTAATTACATTTGGTTATTAATTGCTTCATTGAAGTCTGATAATCAGCTTGAGTCTAGTCTTATTAAGTCATTTTGTTCATAGGTAGAGTGGTACGTCACGTCCATAGCGAACCTAAGGGGACTTGACCTACACCATACTAGTAACCAACTCCAGCACAAGTGGCTGAATATAACAACAGCTTTCGTTACTTTTAGATTACTTGGTGTCCTTACGATAAACCTACATCCTTCATCTGAAATGTCTTGAACCTACAAGTCACAATGAAATACTTCTACATGGTAATAGTTTTGTGTGTGTTTAGTTTTTACGGATTCTTACACCAGCCGGCATATGCTAGCTTCTCGATTATTCTATGTTTTAATTGGATTTTTCTTCCTAATTTTTTAATGAAACCTACCATGGGGATCTTAAATAGTTTACATTTTCGCCACGATGTCAAGTTTGCACTGACAAAGTTTTAGTTTTCGCCACGATGTCAAGTCTGTAATGACAAGGTTTTAGTTTTCGCCAGGATGTCAAGTCTGTAATGACAAGGTTGTAAAGACAGTGGGTGTGGTGGTGTCTGAGTACTAAAGGTGGGGTGGTAGAGTCAGATGAGAAACTTTATCCATGCTAATATTTTAAGGGCAATATATGACGCCTATATGTCTATTATAAGTGCAATTATGACTCCAATATGTTTATAATAAGGGCAATATATAACACCAATATGTGTATTATAAGGGCAATATATGACGTCTATTTGTGTATATGTTTCTGTGACATCGGCATATGAAGAGATAGTGTGGTCAGCACTAAGCCCAGCCGCATTTACTTTCCCTAACGTGAGTTATGTACCCATCAGAGTTGGGTGGACTCAGGGACGGTCTACTGACTTGAACCCAGATTAGACACGAGACATACGGGTAAGCAGTCCAACTCTCTACCGCTAGACCACTCCGTCCCATATATGACGCCTACATGTGTATTATAAGGACAATATATGACACCAATATGTGTATTAAAAGAGCAATATATGACGCCTATATGACTATATGTGTATTATAAGGGCAAAATATATGACACCAATATGTGTATAATAAGGGCAATATATGACGCCTATATGTGTATTATAAGTGTAAATATTTGTAATATAAGGACAGTATATAACACACTGATGCTTGTATTATAAAGACATAAAGCGTCAGTATTTGTCTAATAATGACAATATATGACACCAAAATTTAATTTGTATTATAAGGACAATGTTTGACGCCAATATTTCTCGCATTCGGGCAAGTGTCCATTCGGACAAACGGAATTCGGGCAAGTGTCTATATGGAAACAATCCGGCTCCGCAATGTATGACGCCAATATTTGTAATATAAGGGCAGTATATAACACAATGCTTGTTTTATAAAAACATAAAGCGTCATTCTTTGTCTAATAATGACAATATATGACACCAATATTTGTATTATAAGGACAATATATGACGCCGATATTTGTATAATAAAGACGATATATGACACTAATATTTGTATAATAAGGACAATAAAAGACATCATTATTTGCATTATAAGGACAATGTCTATTTAATCAAGCATGTTTTTTTTTTTTTGGTGGGACTTTTTCTCAACAACAGAACTTGTACTTAGATACGTAGAATTTCAAGGTTCACTTTTTAAAAAGAAAAATTAGAGATTGGGTAATTCTGAGATCAATGATTTAATTGAACAAAGGATCTATCTTTTCAAAATTAGTACATAAAAGATATTTTATTTTGTAAATATTATTTTCCAACAGAATTTACATTTTTTTTTTTCAGATCCTTCTTTGTGTTGGGTATCAGCTAGTTGGCTCAGATAATGAAAGGTGTGCCATTATTCAGTTACCTTTGGAGTTGTACCAACAATTTTATGCTATAGAATATTATGCGACACCGCTCGCCACATCCCTTCCATCGCCGCCACACTTACGGCAGGGAGCGTGTGGCGTCTCTAGCAACGACCAATCAAAACAGATTGTCAATGGCAACGACGCTCCCCTGTTAGCCTGGCCGTGGCAAGTTCTCGTCGTCACAGCCTCGGCTACCATCTGTGGTGGGTCTATTTTAACGCCTGAATGGGTCCTCACAGCCGCGCATTGTTTGACTGAAGCCCGAATTGCAGTAGGGTACGGACACACGTCTTTATACAATCTCAGCCATGTGAAGGTCAAGCAGGCATTCCCGCACGAAGAGTACGACGAGTTCTCGGCATTGAACGACATCGCACTTTTAAAACTCGCGGAACCGATAGAGTTTTCCGATGAGGTGAGGCCGGTTTGTTTACCGGAAGGAAATATTTGGGACGCCTCGCCTTGTTTCGCCATGGGCTGGGGACGCACGTCCCGGGGTGAGGACGGGGAGTCAGTATTCAACTTACGACAGATTAAGGTGAACATCATGAACCAAACGCTGTGTTACACCCTGCGGAAATTCATAAATTCCATTTTTACTGACGGGAATTTCTGCATCGACGCGGAGGGGTCTACAGGGGTGTATAAAGGGGACTCTGGTGGTTCGTTGAGCTGTTTGAAGAACGGGAAATATTATGTGCTGGGGGTGACGCACATGGCGGCAAGTGAAGGTCACGAGTACTTTGCTGATTCATTTACAGCAGTCTCCAAGTACGTGCAATGGATTGCTGAGACTATCAAAGCAAATTCAGGGTGAAAGTTCATGGACAGTGTTACATTCAGATGATGTCTTGGATAGTTACATTCAGTCAGCTGTCTTCTGAGATATTTACATTCAGATGATGTATTTGATAGTTACATTCAGATGATGTCTTGAATAGTAACATTCAAATGATGTTTTTGATAGTTACATTCAGATGATGTCTTGAATAGTAACATTCAAATGATGTTTTTGATAGTTACATTCAGATGATGTCTTTGATAGTTACATTTATCTCATGGCTTGGATAGTTACATTCAGATGATGTTTTTGATAGTTACATTCAGATGATGTCTTTGATAGTTACATTCAGATGGTGTCTTGGATAGTTACCTTCAGATGATGTCTTGGATAGTTACATTCATCTCATGGCTTGGATAGTTACATTCAGCTGTTGGCTGGGATAGTTACATTCAGATGATGATTTTGATAGTTACATTCAGCTAATGTTTTTGTTAGTTACATTCAGATGATGTCTTGGATAGTTACATTCAGATGTTTTGGATAGTTACATTCAGCTGTTGGCTGGGATAGTTACATTCAGCTTATGGTTGACTACACCTATGATGGTAACCGTTTTGGACTTTGTACAAAGACGGCTTTTTAACTGGAATATTTTCCTCTTTACACTATACAATTCAATAATAATTAAAAACAAATTTGATGAGATTATTTAATAAAATTTTACAACATAAAAGTAGGGTTAAGTGACGGCTGAGGTAAGTTGTATGGTGTATTACTGTATGCGGTAAGTAAATTTCAAAAGATTTTTTTTTAAAATATGTCCTATGTTTGTTTTTTGCTATACTTTGATCAAAACTTTATTTTGGATTCCAATTTTGTACTTTAATAAAGCTAAATACTAAGAAAGCAGTTGATAAAGTATTATGTTTCTAAAATCTATTTAAAAATATGTGTTTATATATTAATATTTGTATTAAAATTGATACTAATTTTGAACTGGCTTTCAAACTTTTGGTTTTGTCTGTTTAAATAATTGATTGTTGTAGGGTGTAAGTCGATAAAATGTATTGAAAATATTTGTTGATATTTTCATTTGTAAAGCTCGTCCATCCACCTCCATAACCCCATATGTCACAGTGCTAGAAATGGGAAACAATCAAATGTGTGGCCCATCGTCCACTGAAGTGTGTGGCCCATCGTCCACTGAAGTGTGTGGGACATCGTCCACTGAAGTGTGTGGGCGATCGTCCACTGAAGTGTGTTGGTCAACGTCCACTGAAGTGTGTGGGCCATCGTCCACTGAAGTGTGTGGGCCCTCGTCCACTGAAGTGTGTGGGCCATCTTCCACTGAAGTGTGTGGGCCATCGTCCACTGAAGTGTGTGGGCCATCGCCCACTGAAGTGTGTGGGCCATCGTCCACTGAAGTGTTTGGGCCATCGTCCACAGAAGTGTGTGGGCAATTGTCCACTGAAGTGTGTGGGCCATCGTCCACTGAAGTGTTTGGGCCATCGTCCACAGAAGTGTGTGGGCCATCGTCCACTGAAGTGTGTGGGCAATTGTCCACTGAAGTGTGTGGGCCATCGTCCACTGAAGTGTGTGGGCCATCGTCCACTGAAGTGTGTGGGCCATCGTCCACTGAAGTGTGTGGGCCAACAGTCACAGAAGTGTGTGGGCCATCGTCCACTGAAGTGTGTGGGCCATCGTCCACAGAAATGTGTGGGCCATCGTCCACTGAAGTGTGTGGGCCATCGTCCACTGAAGTGTGTGGGCCATCGTCCACTGAAGTGTGTGGGCCATCGTTTACAAAAAATAATGGAGGACAAGTCTCTCAGTTACCTGACTTCTAGGTAATAAATAAAAGCAAAACTAGTGTAAAGAAAAATAATTTTATCCCAAGTTGATAGTCCATGGGGGGGGGGGGGGGAGGAGAAAAAAAAAGGTCGGGGGGGGGGGGGGGCGGATTAGAGTAATAGCCAAAAGTCTCGCGAATTCTTGAAAAACATAGTAGCCTATATCTAATATGCATTTATTATTTATACATAATTGAAACGCTAATATCATTGTACACACTAATACATTAACACTTGTTAGCTAAATATTTTTAACTCTTGAAATGTATGTAAGCTTGATATGTTGATGAAACCGTGCTTTAGTGTAAAGGCCTAAATTTTGCTTAATTACTACACAAGTATATACACTTATGAAAACAAATCTCAGTATTCCACAAAGCTAATTTGATGATACATAGAACTAGAAAGAAAAAAATTAAAAGATGCCAACATTAGTTATTTGGGATAGCAGTGTTATTTAAGTTGCAAATGGACATGGACAGAAAAAAAAAACAACGTGTTTCTTGCTATGGGTAGCCACCATGTCATTTTGTGGCTTCACAGCTAAGGATGGGGCATATTGTTTACTTTTCGCTTCTATAGATAGGGCCTACTTGTTTTTACATCGGTGATTGTAGAGGGAAACAACTCATTTTTTAAAAACAAAACGCATTTTCATAAATGAGGTTGTGATTATAACTATAAGATTATTGTGGGATTATTTGCTCAAATAAAACAATTTAAAGATCAACAATTGTGATTTCGACTATAAGATTATTTTGGAATTATTTGCTCAAATAAAAAAAAAATTAAAGATAAGCTAACATGTTTTTTCTACCTTGCACAGAGATAACCATGGGAGCTAACTTTAAATAAAAAATTAGTACAACATTTATTTGGTTAAGTCCCTTAGATTGAAGTTTTGAATTTGAACATCTCTTAAAATACTTTAAATAATTGTTTCTACTTTGCTGCAACCTTCATTTAACATTAATAACTCTTTAAAAAATAGATGATTTTGTACTTTTCGTAGGCAAAGCACATTTCCTGGCATTAATGTTTTTATATAAATTAAACGATTATTAAAGTGTAAATTAACGATCGAAATGCTTAAAGTAAGCACTCATACAGAATTTGAAATAATTTGTACACCTGGGTACATGAGTCACGTTGGGGCAAGAAAAGTGCTTGAAATAATTTGTACACCTGGGTACATGAGTCACGTTGGGGCAAGTAAAGTGCTTGAAATAATTTGTACACCTTGGTACATGAGTCACGCTGGGGCAAGTAAAGTGCTTGAAATAATTTGTACACCTGTGTACATGAGTCACGTTGGGGCAAGTAAAGTGCTGACCTTACTTTCTTTTCTTTATGCGGAGATCACAGAATCAGGTGAGCTCTGGACTCTGGACCTTTCAGATTTGAAACTTGACCTAAGAAAAGTACTACCAACAGCCAAGTTTTGTCCAGTGTAAACTTAATTCTCTTGGTTACTAAGTCGGTGAAAAAAATGTGTATCATGTTCAATGTTACAAGCTTTTAATCTGTTTCTTGGATATGTGTACCAAAAATAAGGATTTAAATTTCAACCAGTTTAGTTACTATTGTAGTATTGGGTATATCAAAGAAATCTGAAAACGTCAAACACAATTTTTAATAGTGCCGTATATATGGGGTTAGCGAAGTCCATCAGAACTAGACCAGAATTCGCCCCCCCCCCACCATCACACCGCCACAGTTTCCTCATTTTCTTAACATAATACACAAAAAGCTGGCACCTTTCTCCAGACTGATATGACGATAAAAACACTAAAAGAAACTGTAGCAGAAGATAATACTATTACAAACACGTTTTATTTAGAACCATATATTCAACCGACAATAAAATACTTACAAGAAATGAATAAGTAGCATACACAGTATTAAGTAAATGTTCTAATTAATAGCTTAGAGAGCTGCTCAATTAATATTTCAAACTACCCCACCTAACGTCTGTAATTAAGGAAGTAGTGAAGCTACACAAATGCTCATAAATAAACACTAAATTGTTTCTTGATATATGTTTTCAACCAATTCTAATGCTCAAAATTACCCGTTCTATTTCTGTTTTTTCTTTAATCGCACTCACGTCTGTAGTATGGGAACTGGACATTTTGATAAAAAAAAAATTTGTCTGTTAATTAACACAACTAAACAATCTTCTGAAATAAAATAACTTTGCATAGTCTATTTAAGTCTGAATAATGAACCCAGTCGATAAGTGGGATTATCATCTCTATAAAGATTCGTCTCATATTTATTTGTAAAGTTAATAGTTATGAGTATTAGATAAAATCTCGTTTTATTAATTTATCAAGTGCGGTAACTAATCGATTACTACGAACATTTCTCTACTTATCCTAACATTTGCCCTAACTCTTCTAGGAGAAACAACTCCTCTATCAAACACAATGCAGTTTGCCCTTGGTTGGACGAAGGTTACGGAAGCAAATACAAAAAGAAAAGCAGTCTGAAATCGCAGTCAACGGCCTTTATGGCGCATAACATGTTAGCACGTATTTTTTTTATTGTGTTGGAGGGAATCTCTTCTAACACAGCTCCGACGAAGCTTTACAACTAAACATAATAATTTAAAAAAAATATTTTAGGGTTCTACAAACCTAGGTAGCTGTAAGAAATTAATTACACTAAAGAAATAATTAATCAAAGAGTGGAATTCAGACTAAGAATTGTTTTTGATTGTATCAGCGATCCACTGGACGTACTTGGCCAGTGGTAGGAAGGTGCTGGGGAGACTTTCGTACGCCACTGGGTCCCCCTTGTTCACAAACCCGACCAGGTAGTACCGGCCGTTCTTCCGGCAACTCAACGGCCCGCCGGAGTCGTCAGCACCTAACCCCACCCCAGACGGTGTGTCCATGCAGAAAACGTTGCTGGCGTCGGGGTCGCCATGGTAACGTCGCAGCGTCTGGCATAGAGTCAAGTTCATGACCTCTACTCGAAGCTGCTGGAGTTTGGTGGAAGCGAGATGGTTCTTTCTTTTTTCATTAGACTTGCTGCCCCACCCTGTGACAAAGCACGGAGAGGCCTCCCAGTAGTTCCCCGTGGGTAGGCAGATCGGCTGCACCGTGCGAGAAAAGTTCAACCCTTCGGCCAGCTTGACCAGCCCGATGTCGTCACTTCCGGTTCGGGCGTTATAATCATGATGAGAAAAATATCTCTCCACCATCAACTCTTCGGCTTTGACTATATCCGTGTCGCCGTACATGATCGTGAAGAGCCTCTCCCCGAAACAGTGGGACGCCGACAGGACCCACTCTCTGCTGAGCACGATGCCACCACAGCTGTGGTCCAGACCCAGGACGAGCACCTGCCACGGCCACGCCCCCGCAGGTGCCTCGAGACTGATCGTCTGCAACTCCGCCTGGTCGTTGGTGGTAACGCCGCATACGCCTTGGTCGAGCAGGGGCGTCGTCGGTAAGCTTTCGGGCACGGTGGTGGGTGGGTAGTTGCGGTAGTAGTGATGTCTCCAGATGTGGAGCGACAGCTGAATGTTAGCACACGGCTCGCGCTCTGCTGCCTGTGATGATCTGATGTTGGTCCTTGCAACACACAGCAGTGCCAGTACCTATGGAGCAGAGTGTAAAAATAAACGGAGATCCTGCATAGTATTTTATAAATAAAGTACGGTGTGGTTCGGGTGGCAGAGCGCTCGACTGTTAAACGGAAAGTTGCGAGTTCGTATCTCGAGTTCA